GAAATTATTGCACTTGATTTAACAGATTCCTTTTTAATTCTATGAATACAGTGACAGCACCAAAGCTGTTCATTGGGAAACTCACCTCTGTATGTTCCCACTTCCTCCACGGAATGAGTCATGGGATGTGGGTTTAACCAGTAGAGTAAATAAAATGCCTTTATGGGAGAAATATCTTCTAGTATGTTTGGAAATACTTTTTAAGAGCTAGGATGTTGAAGAGCATCAATGGCTTGTTTAATTTTTACCTCTGATTACATTTTGTGTCGTCAGTGATGCTTCTTCCCTGTGTGTCATCAGCTCAGCCTCACACACCTTCAGGGAAGTTTATTTACAAGATTCCAAATTCTGGGGGAAGAAAACGTCTGAAGGAGGTTGCCTCAGAACTATTCTTGCCTTTTTCCCTCATAAATAGGGTATTTTGATGCCTAAAATAAATACTGAATCTACAGTGATGGATTGGGTAATAAAATTTTCCCATTACTGTTTTACTTGGTACTAAAGAGGCTCTTTTTTTGTTATAACCAAGCTAATAATGCTGCAATTAGGTTAATTTTATACATCCCATTTTATGGCAGAATATGACATTATAGAAGTAATGGGGAAATTTAGAACAGGGCTGTGTAGTGATAGGATCCTCACAGGTGGGATTCATAAAGGTGGTCTATTTCAAAATGTAGGGGCAGTAGTTTTTAGGAAGACTGTAAGCGACTGAGCAATCTTTGCTTACACCTGTGAGCATACCCATGCTACTAGGAAGACTAACCTGCCACCTGGTACTTTCTGTGCTTAAGTGACAAATCTGAAAGATGGTTACTTGCCTATTTCTGCCTTCTTGGCCAGTTGAGAAAATGTCTTTAAATCAACAAGTAATTATATTCTAATTTTTTAAAAAAGTCTGACTGAAAATGTCTTTTTTTCCCCAAGTCTTTAAATTGTTTAATCTGAGTAATGGTGACTAAAATTGTTCTTTAATCATTACCCTTGCATACCTTTCAACTATTTTTTTTAGACAGTGTAACATTTCAAAGCAGTTTATTTCATAATGTCATTTCCATTCTCTGGCTTTAGAGGATTTTCTAAGGTCTTGAGGTTTCAGCTTCTCCATGGAATTGGTGGAATATTGTTTTAATTTACTATAGAAATTTGCATTTAATTAAAAACAAAACAAAAAGCAACAACGGTAGTTACAAGTCAATCCCGAATGTTTTTCAAATGAGAAGATCAAAGATGTTCTGATTAATTTAGGAAAAATATAATAAGCATTTGACAAGATTCAACATGAAGCTTCGTTGTTTTTTTCTTTCGTGTGGACATCTATGATTTTGTTTGTATCAGAGAAAATTTTTGTATTTCTTAACAATTTATAGTTGGTGGGGAATACATAATGAAAAAAGTGACTTCTACTGTAAATATCGTTAAGATATGGGTGTCGCTGCATAAGAGTGTCTCTAAAAGAAGAATAGCAGAGCTTGGGAATGCGAGTTTTTGAAATATGTCTTTATCACCAGGCTGTAAACAGAGTAATTATCTGTGTCCTTTCCCAAATGTTGGTCACCTTCATTCAAGATGACTTTGCCTTTTTTCATAGTAGATGTTGGAAAAAAAGGCACCTTTATATCAAGATGATGATCTTCATTACCTATTTAAAGTGATTGGTATGAAGAACTCTTAATTGCATCAACTGCAGTGTGACTTCTTACAGTGCCCAGTCTTTTAACTGTTGCCTCAAGACCTGTATAACTGAGATCCTTAAACTTTTTCATTCTATTTACTGACTGTTTTTTCAAGCTGATACGTGAAGTGAATTTTCAGTTTAAAAATTAATTTGATCTTCCCACCATATGGCTCTGAATGTTGAGAGGGTATGGATTAAATTAATAAGGACTCAAAGATCGATTTTTGACTTCAGTTATAGGCTGATGAATAATCTTATTTTAAATCAAAAGAAGATCTGATTAGAGAGGTTATTATTGCTGAGGTGGTGATTTTCTTTGTAGCTAAAGGGAAAATAATTATGGCTGTTTAGTCTCTGTGAATGTCTGCAAAGAATATATTTTTAATAAATCAACAAAGAATGGTAGAATTTCACTAATCATTACCTGTAAGCTTTTCCAGGAAAAACTCCATAAATTAAAAAGAAAAATGTTACTATTTAAGTAGCAATGAACAAAATGCTCAATCACTAATGCAATAAATAGCATCCTGCTTACTGTTAAATAGATTTTTTCTGTTAGATTTTTTTTTTGGTCTCCATTATTTGCCAGAATGAACAACACTTGCGACGAGCTGCTTTTGGAGGTGCTGAGTTTTTTAGTGTCAGCACCAGCTCAGCAGAACTCTAGAGGATAACTTAGATAGAAAGTTCCAGTAAGCAGAGCCAAAACTTTTGTACTTCATCTTGGATACCGTAAAAAATGTTATGTTAATTTTACATTTTCTTCAAGTGCCAAGGTTAAGCCTGTGTTCCTGAGATGAAATTACTAAAGGAGTAAGCCTGCGATTTCAGTGAAGCTGTTTCTGACTCATTTGGTGTAGATTAGATTAAACCTGTTCCTTGTTCATAGGAAAACCAGGAAGGTTGTAGCCAGAGTGTTCTTGTGCAACTGATATGACTAATCTCTTTCCTTTTTTTTTCTCTTTTCTCCTTCCTAGGGCCAGTACAGGCCCTCTGACTTGTTGTGCCCAGAGACATATGTCTGGACACCTGTTGAGCAATGTCTGCCCCTGCTCGAGCACACAAAATACTGTCGATTCAACCAGGACGCAAAAGCAGGTAAGTTTACAAGTAATGACGGGTCTGTAAATTGTCTGTCGTGTTTTCATAATGTATTGGTATCATCTGCTGCTGAAGCATTATGGAAATCTTATCTATAAAGGATAAAAAGTGTAAAATTCACAACTCTTCCAGCGAGCATTAGCAAATAGAGAGTTTAATCTTTTAACATAAAATAAGAAATACAGATTTTAAGTACGTTCTGGTTTACAGGCTATATGTAGTTCAAAATTAGCACATACTGCTGCCTTTCAGATAATTGTATTTGTTATTCTGTGCATGAACAAAACCGATCAAATAATTGTTCCTCCCTTACATTCCAGTCGGATGAATGCATAAAGAAAGGAAATTAGAATCAATACAGGAAAGTGAAAGGGCTGCAGAAGCTTGAAGGCATCAAGTGCCTTTGTTAAGAAACAAACTGGCAGATTTAGTTTAACACTCTGTCAGTGAATGAAAGAATACAATGAACAACAGAAACACCTTAAACATCTTGAAGTAGATGGGATGTAGGTTTTTACATTTTGTAAAAAAGGTACTTAGTGATTTGCTAGCACAGAGTGGTAAAAAACTATTACTAACCGGAACGCAATACCATAATGATTCTGTAAACTAGTGCAATGAAATGGAAAAAAAATACATGTACTCACTTTAGGTATTGACTCTGTGAGTAGATTCCAGACCCTGGGGGAGCTGTGTTAGAGAACGCTTGGTGTGGTGCTTGGGTGGAAAGCAAAAAACTGATTAACTTTAATTAATTGCAAGTTGCTGAATATCATCTCTTTGAAATTTTCTCTTTCCCCACTAAATAGCAGTTGAGAAAGGTTGTAGTATTATTCAGAGGCTTCAGTGATTGAGCCCAGGAGTATGTAAACCCATGATCTGTTTCTAGCCATCAAAATACAGATTTTGAGTAGTCTTCAACAGATGCTGGATTCTTTTTTGTTTTTCATGGCTGTAGTTTAAAAAAATTTTCATTTACTAGCCAGTTGACTGTTAGAAGGGCAGGATGTAGATGAATGAAAGGATTTTGAAGAGAGATGACCACTGTAGGAGGACTGTGAACTTCTGGAAAAGCTGCTTGAGTTCCTTGTTTTCACTCATCCTGTGCACGTTACTGCTTATGCTGTGACTTGGTTGCTCACCTGGAAAACTAAGATAATATAATTACTACAAAAATGAGGTTCAAATATGTTTCTAGATATAGATACCGATTTAAATGTTTTAGCAGCAGAATTACGTTAAGTGTTGTGTGCAAACAGAGAACGTTCTCTAGGGATTGTGCAGGTAGCGTGTGATGCAGTGGGAAGTAGACAGTGGAACGTACTTGGACACTCTTTGAAAAGAATATCTCTCACCATGGGGAAAGCTCAATGTGTAAGAGGTTTAAATGGGCAGCACATCATGTCTTGATCAAGTAGAATCACTGTTGGGTTGGTGAGAGGAAATTTGAAAACATTAACAAAGGTAAGAGGAAGAAGGAAGATGGTTTTGGAGGCCAGTGGTGTTCAAGACACTGTTTTTATCCTGAAATAAAAAATTGCATTTATTTAAGCACAACAATGACAACTAAACTACTGCTTTTGAAGTTGTTAACCCTGTACAAGCAAAGGGGAATCGTCTTCTCGATTCTGTGAAATTCCTGCGGGATACAACGCTTTTGGAAACTGCAGGATATAAAACTTTGCATCATTATCAGCACAGAATATTGCACTGCAGACACAACTGGAACTGTGACTTATGTCCTGTGGTTTAAGGAAATTAAAACACAGCTACACGTTGAAATTCACTAGATCTGCTGTGAGCTTACAGTCATTTGAGGTTTAAATAGTCGCTAGCTCTAAGGAAGCTATTTCTCAACAGTAAAATCAGCTTCCTTCTTAGTTCTTTACTCTCTACAATAGTCAGTAATATAAGTTTAATGAAGTTATAGTGAATTTAAAAAAGAGCAATAGGAATGATGGTGTGCTTTGTTCCTCATGAATCAGCTTTCTCTAATTCTGCCTGTAATTATGTCAGTTAAGTGGGTCATGATTTATCAGGGGTGGGACTTCCGACGTAGAAACTGAGGGCAGTAACCAGGTCCAGTAAACAACTGGGAGAAATAGCACAGCTTGCATTGCTGCCAGGGGCAATAAAAGTCACTGGAGATGGTAATCTTTTAATATTGTCAGTAATGTCAGAAAATGTCTGAAACGTTACCTCATGCTGTTTTGTTCATCATGTTTGGCAATTTTTGAACTCCTTTTGCCCTCTTTAAAAAAATATGAAAATTACCTAATAAATTTACCGGTTACAGGTTATGAAAATGCGTTACAGAACAGCGGCGAGTGCTACTTCAGGAGAGGGTGCTATGCGCTCTGACCTTCCAAGTCTCTGCAGTATGAAAAGGATTTCTGAGTATCCATACACATTACATTGCAGAGCTCTTTCCTGTAATCGGATTTATTTTTTCTTTTCTGAAAAAAAAAAAGACAAAGATATGCTCACAGAAGGTAGCAAAATTTTTCTAAAGTATCAGAAAATATTAATTGATGTTTGCAGAGGATTTTTGCCTGTTTTGCATTGTGTGGTTGTCCCAAGCATGAGCATTCTCAAATGGCTGTACAGTGTATTGTTTTCCATCTCTTTCTCCTCTGACGACTTTTGTTAACAGTTGGAGAATGAAGAAGAGAGGAGAGACAAACTAAACAAGTTCTTAACTCTTTAAACCACAAAGATAAGTCTAAAGAAGTGTCTAACAGTAACTTAAAAAAACAGTCATAGAAACTGTAATAACTTTTATTGTTTAGGATGGCAAATCATGGGTGCCTGAGAGGTTGGAATTGGTCCAACTCTTTACAGCTTCTGGCCCATGTAATGAGATTCAATCTCATTTAACCTCAAATCGCTTCAGTTCTACAGAGACAACGATGAGGTCTTATGCCAGCAAACACTCAGATTTGATATTTAAACAAACTCCTAGTAGGCTCTTTATCTGCAGTTCCTAACATTTATTGGAAAACATCAGTTATTTTAGGAAAAAAAAAAAGCATAGCAATGCTCAGACAGCGTTCATGGATAAAAGGTCATATTGTTGAAGTTTTGGTTAAATTATCAGTTTTGCCTAAATTACTTATGCCTTATAACAGATTTTTCATTTTTGTTATCTGTTCAATTTGAAAAATTCAGAAGAATTGGCATTACCTTTATAAATGAGAGAGGTTTATTAGGATTCTGATGTGTTTATTATTAAACAGTGGCTGGTCATTTATTTACAAATAAATAAGCAGTTGGTGGAGTAGGGCAGTAGTAGAGGCTTTGGATGCATTGTGAACATTGTGATTGTGCTGAACTGCATTTGACAGGGCATTGTAAGGATGTCCTGGGTCCAGCTGGGATAGGG